AAATTTTGGACAACCTTATTACGATACCAGGTTGTAAACCATTGATTCCAAAAGCTAAAGTTGATAGATTATGGCCTAAAGCAAGGAAGACAAGAACAGAAAGAAAAAAAGGCTAAAGAAGTACAAACAACTCTTCAATGATTAAACTCAATATGATACTTATCATATGATTTTAAACACAAAAGCAGAGCCAGCACATGAAACCCAATCCAGCTAAGGCTAAAATCACAAAAATATATTCTGAAAGTATGTAAAAATGCACATTTTTAGCAGTGCTTTTTATTCAAAAATAAAAATTTGCTACCGCTTCGATACATACAAATTCAATAAAGAAATATCTTCCACTATTTTCTTCTCTTCTCTTTCATAAAAAGGGGGATATGACAGCTGATGACACAACAACATAAATGGACTGCACGAGGAAAGGACAATCTGGGACTAGCTTGAGCATAAATCACTGGGAAAAACAATTATGCCTTTGTTAGCCTAACAAAGGTGTTATCAGATAAGTTATTGTAGCATTTCACTCAATAATTTTATATCATCAAGTAACAGATCTAATGATGAACAAACAGAAATGCTAGTTTTCCTTTTCAATTTTACCAGCTGCATGCATATGCCGTACAGCAAAAACCAAGGAATGGAAGCTTCTCAACAACAGAAACACTGATGTACAAACATCATGTAGATAAGAAGAGTGTTACTCTATGCAGTGACAACCATTTTGAGAAATAAATTGCATCACATTCAACTAAATGCATATCAAGTTAGAATAAATGACTCCATGCTATTACAACAATAGATGCAACTACTTCTCACATTGCAAGAAACAAGGAACTGTACATAATTAAAGCACAATTACTGTACAAGAATTAAAGTATGAAGCTTACCCTTTAGTGCCATCTATAGGATCTAAAACCCAATGTCGGCCAGCAGAACCGCCTTCAGATTTGCCACTGTCAATGGCCTTGAGCACATCTTCTGTGGATAATGTAGGAACACTATATGATGCATCACTAGTTATAGTTTCATTCACAAGTTTTGTAATGCGTTCTAGCGTATCTGTGGCACCATCATTACGAAGATCTGTTGAATCCTAGGGAGATTTAATAATATTGTAATTTCAGTTAACACCCACATTCAAATAAGAAAAGGAAACAGCATCCGCCTGTCTCCAAAAATTTCAACAAAAGTTCACATTTTTGTACCTCCTCAGCTACTAAAGAAAATGGTTCAGAAGGCAGTTCTCTCTCCAGTACAAAAGTCACCAGTGCTTGTGAGCCTAAGAATCCCAAAAAACACATTGATACAACAGCAATAAGGAATTAGTCAGTTGCAGTTCCCTCTGTTTCAAACCTAAAAGCAGGCAACATTGTGACACACCAAATTCATTCTTAGCATAATAACTAAACAAAAGCCTCTATTTGACTCAATGAAGGAAAGCCGAAAATTAAACAAACATCAAATGTAATAAGAACATTTCACATGCTGCACGTCCAGACACAACAAGCATACCTGTAGCAAGACAAAATAAATGATTGAGATAAAACAAATGCATAAATCACACACGTCCTAACGATCTCTCGTGCTGTATTGACAGCGCTATGAGAATAATAACTGCTATAAAAGAGCTAATTTACAGATTGTTAAATAAAGAAAGACAGTATTGTTAATAATTATTAGCAGACAAAGAAAATAACAGATTGAACATAATCAAAGCACAAGAAAGTTGGGAAGTAGACCATAATCTGCGACTGTTACAGGACTTTTATCTGATTTTGATTGCACATCAGATTGCAATAGAACTTTTTGCACCTTCTGAAGAAAAAGAAAACATCCGAAATCAGCTTAATTGACAAAGAATTAACAAATATACTAAGCAAATCTATCATTTCAAAACGAGGCAAATACAGAAAAGTTGATTGAAAATAATCTAGAAGCCAGAAGATATAGGACTAACAATAACAATGAAGCAAAGATAAATAACAATAAATCATTGCCTACAATTTTCATACACCACATTATACATTAAATTCTTAATCAAACCACAAGTTTAGATTGTCAAAAACTAAATTGCACACCTGAATAAACAAAATCATTTCTTTAAGACCAAGTACATCAAACCACCAACACACAAATTCAAAGCCCCACAAACACCCAATAAAAACTGCTGACAATTAACAAAATTCACAACATGGGTATTGCTCAAAAGCCAAAATTAGAAAACTAGATTCTGAGTCAACCTCAAAAAGTAAAATTTCACAGCCTCAGATTGAGCAACCAAAAAGAAAACTAATAAGCAATATATATATATATAAACAGTTCCAAAAACAATAACTACATTACCAGAAACTCAAATACACACACAAAACAAAGCACCACAAACACCCAACAAAATTACAAACAACTAACAAAAAACACAACATGGGTATTGCTCCAAACCCAAAACTAGATTATAGGTCAACCTCAAAATTAAAATTTCACAGCCCCAGATTGAACAACCAAAAACAAGAGTAATAAGAATTGAAAAAACAAAAAAGAAATACCCAGTTTCAAAAACGACAACTACATTATCAGAAACTCAAATACACACACGAAGGAGAAAGAGAGCAAGAGTTTAGTGCCTGGCAAAGTTGAGCAGCTAAAGAAGCGGCTTTTTTGGCGGCGGCAAGTTCCTTATGATAAGACATTTTAACTGAAAGTACAAATGAAGAAGAGGTTTTGAACTGGGTTTTGGTGGGTTTGGAAAGAAGAGAAAACAGTAGAGGCTTTGAGGAGGAAATGGGTGTTAAAATTTTAAGGCAATTTCCAGTCATCCCCTCCAAGTGAAGTGGGTCTTTGTATTGTATATATTGATTGATATTGTATTGCCGTCAAATTTATTGAGGGTGATGCGATCAAATGAGAATTGATTAAGATAATAATTAATTGGTTTTATGTGACCCACAAAGGAAGCAAAATAGCAAATTGTGGAAAATTGAGCGGAGATTCTCTTCGTTGGGACACGCTCCTTATAGTCTTGCATGGGATGATGGGAGAGTTAATAGTCTTCTTTTAATGAATTTTTCACTTACAAATGTCATTATCTTAATGAGTGCAAATTTATTAAAGTCCGTTTAATCATAACATATATTTAATCATGCAGCCAATAACATAACATATGTTAACAAAATGTGGAAATTTAAGTCACGATTCTCTACATTTGGGCTATGCTTCTTCCTCGGGGTAACAGGCCCCTCTAGGTCAACTGGCATGTGCACTTGTTCCTTTGAAAAAACTTGTAATTGTAAAGCACTCAATGTGTTGTATCTGAACGAAATAGGGAAGCAATAGGAACAAAATAATAATAGTAAAATAAAATAAACAGTAAATAAAAAAATTATACGCGTGATTTATCCTGGTTCACCCAATGTGGGCTACGTCCAGCTGAGTCAATATTATTGAAATATGCCTCACCTCTCTCGTTTACAATGAATGAATTGCTCTCTACCTCATAACAAGAGAAAAGTATGTTTATATACTAGGTTTAAGAGATTAAACCTAGTTTTACAGGAATTCATATTCCTAAGCCCAACCCAAAAAGGAATTAATAACTTAAAAGGAATCCTACAGCGGTTATACATGGAAAAGCCCAAAACCGCCTACGAGCTCGGGGGCGCTGCCCCCACGACCCCCGCCCGCTCACCGAGGAGTGGGGCACCCGCCCGTTGACCGGTCAGTTGGACCCCCGAGTGCGTCTCCGTTACCTATTAATGCTGAAGTAGTCGACAACTCCAACAGTATCATGATTCATGATCACGTAACTCAACTAATCCCACGTGGATATGTTATATCATGATTGTATATTTCAACTAATCTTTATGGTCAATTGTAATAGATGATCCCAAGGTTTAAACCTAAGAACTCAAATAATGGAATAAACCTCTCTGGCCATCAGACCAACTCCTTGGGATTGATATATTTGTTCTTAATTAACACTAAAATAAGGATGAGTAACTATAGCTAGCTTCACAAAAATATATTTGTTTGTTTAATCATAATAAACTTTTAGTTATATTACAATACAATATTGTATTAATAGTAAGACTATATTCATTAACCCTTCTTACTAAATTTCTCTCACAAACGTGACATGTCAACTCGTAATTGATCAACTTACAATGGGTTCCACCCACCCAACAATGGGCTTCGTCTGTCCAAATGCGAGCTGACCAATTGGGAACTGTCACGTCAACGTTTGTGAGTCTATCTTCATTCTTGTATTAAAACTATAGATTTGTTTGCTTAATCGTCGTATGCATCATACATATTGATATGAGGAATCATATTTGACAGCGGATATGCATACATATGTTCCATACAAGGCTTTTCATCTTAAATTTTGACCATCTTTCTCATTTATCAAAACACCATTTTATTGTGCAAAATTGGCATAATTTGTATTGGAGCAATATAGATAACATATAATCACATAATTAATCCATTAATCCTGAATAACAATATTTAAAATAGAAACATGGACAAATATAAAATTTTCTAAGCTTTGGAAACTTAATAGTTGATTAAGCCAATTAATAAAATAACATCACATAAAACAATTGACCAAAACAAAAAGTAGCTTAAAATAGATGGCTTCTGGTACCTGCACACCACAGAAGAAATAATTTCCAATTGGGACGGGCAACCACCAAATGAAACTAATTTAACTTCCATCCAGCCTTTTATTCTTCATCATCATACCATTCTTGACTTTCTTCTTCATGTAAATAAACTAAACAAAACACACCAGAAAATAAATATATAAATAATGCAACAAATCCAACCTTAATGCATGCATGCATTTCATTATTCTTCACGTCAAGAATAGTTTAATGGTGAAGATCACAACAACGGTGGTTTAATTTAGAGGCAGAAATCAAAATCCTTGTTTGAAATTTCTTTCAGGTTCTTGTGTTGTGGTGGCTGAAATCTGAAGCGAGAAAACAGAAAGAGAAAGAGAAATGGACCAAATGTCAGCTGCGAATAAATCAGATGAAACAATAGTGTGTTATGCACCAAATATGATTACCACAAATGGAGTTTGGCAGGGGGATAATCCTTTGGATTACTCTCTTCCTCTCTTCATTTTGCAGTTGTCAATGGTGGTCGTCACCACCCGCATTCTCGTTTTCATTCTGAAACCCTTTCGCCAGCCTCGTGTGATCTCGGAGATTGTTGTAAGTAATTTTTCATCTTCTATGTTTATGTATATTGAATGATCATGTTTGATGGAAAGAATTTTCACGATTCAATCACAATTTATTCGTTTATAAGAAAACATTTGAGGTTTCAATGTTATAAATTGCACATTCTATCAATGACGGAGCTAGGATTTCATTTAAGAGGGGGCAATTTAAAAGATAAAACTCGAGGCACCGATTAATATTATTATCTTGAATCATAAGATAATAAAAATAGTTCTTCTATATTCAATCATAAGAGGGGAAAAAAAAACAAAAAATCAAAGCTTGAAATAAATTCAAGTTGGAAGAAAAAAAATATACAAAACATGGAAAAAGTGGTGGCAGAAGGACAGTCTACTTTCATAAAATAAAGGGTTTTATTTATTTATTTATTTTTGTTACAAATACAAAATAGAAGGAAATTCGTCAGTGGGGGCATAAGCCCTCACTCAGCCCTTGGTGGCTCTGTCCCTGCATCCTAGCAATGCTATCGGATGAATATAATGAATATATTGTTATAAATATTGTCTTGGTAGTAGAAAAATCTTGATTTTGTTTTTGATATTAGAAACTGATAGCTTGGGGAATACTGACAGGGAGGAATAATACTGGGGCCATCAATACTTGGAAGAAATACTGCATTTGCGAACGCAGTCTTCCCTTTAAGAAGTGTAATGGTGCTTGAGACAATGGCAAATGTTGGCCTTCTTTACTTTCTCTTCCTGGTTGGAGTGGAGATGGACATGTCTGTAATCCGTCGCACCGGTAAAAAGGCATTGGCCTTGGCTGTGGCCGGCATGGTCTTGCCTTTCCTTATTGGTGCTGGCTTCTCAATCCTTCTGCACAATAAAGCACATCAGATGAGTCTAGGAACTTTCATACTTTTCCTTGGAGTTGCCCTTTCTGTCACTGCTTTTCCCGTGCTCGCAAGAATTCTTGCAGAGCTCAAACTTATCAACACGGAGCTTGGCAGGATTGCCCTGTCTTCAGCTCTTGTCAATGACATGTGTGCTTGGATTCTCTTAGCTTTCGCCATTGCCTTAGGAGAGAACGAAAGTACTTCCTTATCGTCCCTCTGGGTGATACTCTCGGGTGTAGCTTTTGTTATCTTCTGCATATTTATTGTTCGACCTGCCATCTCCTGGATGATTCGGAGAACCCCAGAGGGCGAAACATTCAGTGAATTCTACATATGTCTCATTCTCACAGGGGTTATGATAGCAGGTTTCATCACAGATGCCATCGGGACACATTCTGTTTTTGGAGCTTTTGTATTTGGCTTGGTGATTCCGAATGGACCACTAGGACTTACTCTCATAGAAAAGCTCGAAGACTTTGTGTCAGGGCTTCTTCTCCCTCTCTTCTTTGCTATCAGCGGACTCAAGACTGATATTGGAGCCATCCAAGGAACTTTTACCTGGGGAATCCTAGTTCTTGTAATCATTCTAGCTTGTGCTGGAAAAATTGTCGGTACTCTCTTTGTTGCAACCATTTACCAGATGCCAGCTCGCGAAGGAGTTACTCTTGGCCTGCTCATGAACACGAAAGGATTAGTCGAAATGATTGTCCTCAATGTTGGGAAGGACCAGAAGGTACTTTAATGCAACCAGTAGATTTTCTGTGTTCTCTTTGCAATGATACTGATAAAGCAACATTGTTTGCAGGTATTAGACGATGAGTCATTTGCAATTATGGTTGTTGTAGCTGTGATTATGACAGCAATAATCACACCTATTGTAACAACAATTTACAAGCCAGCAAGGAGATTCTTACCATACAAACGGCGAACAATCCAAAGATCAAAACCAGATTCAGAATTGAGGCTACTGGTGTGTATCCATACTCCTCGAAATGTTCCAACGATAATCAACCTTCTTGAAGCATCACACCCCACAAAAAAATCCCCAATATGTGTCTATGTGCTTCATCTTGTCGAACTTACAGGCCGTGCATCTGCCATGCTCATAGTGCACAATACCAGGAAATCTGGTAGGCCAGCCCTGAACCGAACACAAGCTCAATCGGATCACATAATCAATGCCTTCGAAAACTATGAGCAGCATGCTGGTTGTGTCTCTGTTCAGCCCCTAACAGCCATTTCCCCTTACTCCACTATGCATGAAGATATCTGCAACTTGGCAGAGGACAAACGTGTAGCCCTCATAATCATCCCCTTCCACAAACACCAAACAGTTGATGGAGGAATGGAAGCCACTAACCCAGCATTTCGTATGGTCAACCAGAATCTACTAGCAAATTCACCTTGCTCGGTTGGGATTCTTGTAGACAGAGGCTTAAACGGGTCTACACGGTTGGCTGCAAATCAAGTGTCTCACCACATTGCCATGCTCTACTTTGGAGGCCCGGATGACAGAGAGGCCCTAGCCTATGCATGGAGAATGTCCGAGCATCCAGGAATTAGTCTTACCGTGATGAGATTTATTCCAGGAGAGGATGCAATTGGTCCAGTAGCACAGCCTAGTTCTGATCTGAACAATCCTGAAAGACTGACCGTGGAAACCGACAATGACAAGGAGAAGCAGCTTGATGAAGAGTTTATAAACGACTTCAGGATAAAGAATGTAAATGATGAATCAATTGTTTATACTGAGAAGGTGGCAAACAATGGAGAGGAGACAGTGGCAGCAATAAGGTCAATGGACACAGCTCATGACTTGTTCATAGTGGGGAGAGGACAAGGAATGACATCACCATTAACGGCTGGACTTACTGACTGGAGTGAGTGCCCAGAGCTTGGTGCAATTGGGGATTTGCTTGCATCATCTGATTTTGCAGCAACAGTCTCAGTGCTGGTTGTGCAACAGTACGTTGGAATAGGACCATTAAATGAGGGGATCGGAACACCTGACAGCCCTGGTCAGGCAGAGGACCAATTCGGCAATGTATCACTAACACCCAAAGGGCAACCCATGTATAACGCACCACATTAAGCACCATCATTAATGATGACTCCCATGCAATTTCAAGGGAAAGAACTGAAACAAAAGCTTAAGCCTGGAAAGTTATCAATTCTCTGTTATTCAAGTGTACACCGTTGTAACTTGTAACAAAAAGTTGGAAGCAATTACTAAACTTCCCTTATTTTTCAAATTAGATACTGGTTTGTAGATTTTCCTTTTTAATTTAGATATGCAACTCCTTTATAGCAAAACAATTATATGAGTAACTGTTCAATCTTAAGGATTTCACAACTGCATTTCAACCTTCCTTTGAGTTTTGAGAAGTACTTTAACTTAAAAAAAGCTGAATAATTAGCAAATAACTCTTCATAATCAAAAACCATATCAATGCTTACAAGGAGTACTGAGAAAAAGTAAGATGCTAATTATAAAGTGTTTTCAACATTAAAGCATATCAAGCACACAAGTTTTGTGCAACTAGAACCTATTTTCAGTTGTGTAAACGCATATATAAAATTATAGGAACCTTACTTTTTTTTATGTTGGAATCTGTTTATTCTTGTGGCACTAGTTTTACAGAATGAATTTTAAGAGAGAAAATGCTAAAGAATCACAAAGAGTACAAGTAAAAGCTGAGGTAGAGGAATTTTGTAGGTTTAGAACACAAAGACCTCTCGATCAAATAGACTCTGTCCCAGAGAGGAACTGATCTAAAAATATTATTAATTTCAACTAGGAAAACAAAAAGAAAGAAAAATTAGGGAAGGAACAGAATTAAGAATGCATTAGCTGTCTCGAATACTTTCACAAATCCAACAATGATAAAGTTGAATGAATGTAATCTATTTCTTTTCATTTTCAAGATATTTGGGAAGGACTGTTACCAAATATGACTGCAAGAGGAACTAAGGATACTATATATTCTTGTAATACTTAAAAGTACTAGATTGGAAATCCTCTTTTGTAAGTTGTGTTGAAGAATAACGTCAAAACACAGAAGATAATGAAGCAGAAAAGTAAAGAAGACAATTGATTTATCTTGGTTCATTCCTAATATAAGAACTACGTCTAGTATTTAAAATAGAGAAGATTTTATTAAGTTTCAGAAATCTGCAGCAATACAATAGTAATGACGGCAATTCACTCTTTCTCTCCTCTCTCTCAATATTTTCTCACATTAAGTCGATAATCCATCAAGGTCATGCAAAGCATATCCAACAAGTTGTACTAATTTGATATTGACAAAAACTTATGAATGGCACTCATAAAAGTCATTTGACTTAAAGGCAGAAAAGAATATAAAAGACAAATCCAGATAAGAAGCTAGAAAATGGGAACGATGAGTTAAATAACTGTTTAGTAAGGTGTCATGCCAAACACTAGGTGCAGTACCGTCACAGTGAAGTCTTTCCTTGCCTCAGGTTAAATGAGTTTTATCACATAATGCACAATGTTAGATGGAACAGATTGTATGATTCTATGTACTGTAACCAAGAATTCGATTCTGGGTAGACAGGCCAAGAGCTATATCATCTACAATAGACAACATTTCAACACACAACTTCTCTACAGTCGTGAGAGAACTTTCAGCTAAAAAAGTTGAGAACTTAATAAAAGACAACAGAATTTCAAACCTGCGCACTTTCATTTCTTACATGCTTGTGTATGTCGGGGCAGCCACATTTGAAATGAAAGCCCTTGTCACAATACAGACAATTCTGCAGGAAGTAGCAAGAGTAATCTGCCAATAAGAGTTGAGGATTGTGAAGAAGAATCAAGATTGATATTACAACAGACAGCTCTAATGGAAAATAATAGGAAATCATCATTGTTTCTTCGATTGTGAGTTGTTTTCAAACCTAAGAATCTCATCTGACTCCACATCTCCGTATGAAATATACCAAATAATAGGATTACAGCTACATATAGACTATTTTCCCAATCACAATTCACAGCAGTGCAGCAAACTTGTGAACGCTAGAACAACTCCACTAGTTTCAACATTTATACTATTGCAAGCAAGGTTCACACTGATTTTGATGAATACCTATCCTACTCAGAGTTGCCAGGTCCATCAGATTCTAAGACAAGTGACTCTACAGACACCAAAAACACTACACATGTAGAACGCCATGACATACTAGATATTTATATGTCCAGGCCTTAGAAAGACCCAATGCCGTTTCATCAAACCACAATAGCCATAAAGTAAAGCATATAAGAGCTCACCTACAACAGCCACCACAATGAATTCACTGNGATAAGTCTCTTGACTAATCTTCCTACTTTGCAATCTACGGTTATGATCAATCAATAATTGCCCTGCATCATGGTTGGCATGTTTTGGACAATTTCCTATATGACGCTTCATATTTTTAGTCCCATGTGTGGCACTACCATATGCATAAGATTTACTGCATGCCTTACACCTAGTCCTTTCAGTGTTATTCTCAACATATATCTCAAAATGATTCCAAACTTTTGATGTTTTACGTTTATTTCTAGAACTAGTTGTAGGAATACTAGAATTAGAAGGAGGTGGCATTACCCTAGAAGCATCATTACTTGCTCTCACGTTAACCATATCTGTATCTATAGTTTCTGAATCCGCCATGTCCATGCTTGAGACTACAAAAAATAAAAATAAAAATAAAGAAACAAACATCAAGGACACCATAACCAGAATAAAATTAATCTAAACTAACATTTATATCAGCATGCCTAAATAATATAATTTTCTATTTATTGATAATTGAGTAATTGCCTCCTCTAGCACAGTTCATGCATCGTAATTTTGATACAATTATAAATTTACATAATTTTTTTTTACTTCATTTTACTTTAATTACACTAAAATTTATGTATATAAATGATCAGTGTCTTCACAGCTACAATTTTTAGATAATTATTTCGAAACTTACAAATTTGAATCAAATACCCATTTCAATTCTATTTTGCTTGATAATTTGAATTGTTTAATAAAGAAGTAAATGCATTTGATAATTTGAAATCCCGTTTGACAAAATCGCCCACAAAAAGGTAGACAAATTTGAGACATTTATGGCACTAATCTTTCTTCTAATTTTGTATTAAGCCAATTGATTAAAACCTAACCCCATATTGTTTGTGCCCCAACATTATCCAAATTCAACTTACCATAACTTCTTTAATCAATCACTAATCCATCAATTAGTAATAATTGTATAATGGATTTTATGTATATTGACTCATCCCCATTTACTCTTTGATGCCATCAACAACTCCCACTATACTTCTTAGTCCATAAATTTATTATTTTTAGTTGAATTTTTTTTAAGCATGTCCTCCAACATATGATTCATGAATTCAGTTCATAACCCACCAATATAAATTGACCATTTTACCAGAGAATTTTAATTTTAGGCCAAGTGTTGTCGGTTTGGAGATCACACGGAAGCAATAATTGACATATGAGAGTACGAAAATAAATTACCTAATTTAATGTGATTAGATATAGTGGATGAAAGATAAATTGATAAAATTATAGGACAAAACATAAAACTTATAAAATGCAATCCTCTACTGACCTGATAACTAAATGTTAATTTCTGTGATTGTTTAATAACAAAAGGAGAGTCACAGTTTCCTTCTGAATTGAACCTTTTCCACTAAAGAACGATTAAGAGAAAAATAAAATGAGTTAAAATAGCACTAATCTTTGTTCTAATTTGCTCATTGCTATCGAGACAAAAGCCTAACCTCCAATGGCTTATCTGCAGCACCTAACTTCACTTTTTATTATTTATATTCACTTCTTTAATTTTAGTAGCTATCTACCCAAAGACTTACTTAAATTATTTAATATAATCTGCAGGCTTGATCACTTGTGTTCATTAACATACCACCGACATCACACTAGACCATATTTTTAAATGACATAATTTATGAATCAAAGGGTGTATCTAAGTTTTTAACAGAGGTTGTTATTCGTATCCTCTTATTTATTATATTTTGAAATTATTATACTCTTATAGATTACTTAATTTGTTAACAATCTATATTTTATGAAAATGTTACAAACTTTCATAAAATAAAAAAAACTTGAAATTATTAGAAACCTCTTTTTAAAGGGAGTTTTTGTAATGCTTTTTTAAAATGGTGAGATTTATCGAATTAAACATCACTTACAGGTTTATGACTTATGTATAACATTTTAAATAGATAAAGATTTTTTAAAAAAAATTATTTTAGAGTAATGCAATATATCATTTTATTCCCTCTTTTTTTTTTATTTTATTGTCAAATAGTGAGTGTTATTTCATATGTATTTACTTACCAAATATTGCTAAAAATAATTTCAAATTCTAAATTACTCTTAAATGATTGAATAACTATTATAAGCAACAACAATCACCAATTAATTAACCCACTCATGGGCCTTGGGTACCCCAACGGTAAGGGTGAACTAAGCAGGTTATGCGACTTTCATCTACAGTCTCGTTTGATTCATCTTAGATTTACTAAGGGGGTCGTGCGTGAGTTGTTGTGCGATAATTCTTTTTGAGGATTAATGAAATAGCATAAATTATTGGACACCTCAGTTAAAAAAAAATTCATTATTTATATCAATAGTATTGAATCTAATATTGAAATACAAAGAGTAGATTTATGAGTGTGAAAATCTCATATTAATTTGGTGATTAGTGAGTGCAATGATTTAAGTTCAAAATCACCACCAATAAATAAAACTTTTTGTTAACAAGAGGCTTAGAGACAAAAGTGAAAAAGATAAATCATATAGTCAGAAGCAAGTGTCATGAAATGTTGAAATGAGAATAAAAAAATATGTCCTATCTGAGAAACCATAAAAAGTTGAGGAATCTTCATTATAACTTTGACATTCTAACCCATTACTCTTTATAAACCACCTAAAGCCAAATAACAAATATCATTTTCGCTAACTTTGGAATCTTATTAATTAAATATTTTGTTTAATATGAAAATTGCAGTTAATAACATTTTAGTACTCGAGTTTCAGAAAGTACAATACTATCTTACTTTAATGTTTAGAAGGTAAATTGTCACTATTCTGAGTTTTGGATTAAAAAATCATTTTTCAAATCATAAGGATCGAGTTGATATTTCACCGACCATTAAAAATAAACTCCTAAAGTTGCATAGATTATGTCAACTCCTTAAATTCGTGTTTAAGAAGTCATGATTTTGAGGATCTTAATATATATAGCAACCATAATTAATAGATATCTATATAAGTAGAGAAATTGAATAGTTCACATGGCAGACAAAATAGTGTTCAAGGACCAAATTTTCTTTAATTAAATTAATTACTCTATAGTTTATAATGTTTTGTTTTGTCTTGTAATGCTTGTACTCTCTTCGGTCATAGATCCTCCATTTTGTTTAAAAGCCAATCTTACTCTTTCTTGGGAACATTTAAGTTTGTTTTTATTGCTTATTCAATTGATTGAGATATGCATACACCAAAACAAAAGAATCCAAGCAATAAACTGTCTTTTACCTCAAATCTAGGGTTTTTGTGGGATCTCCTTATAAGCAATAAGTTGCTTTCAATAAGTAAAAGTTAATACCAATATACAAAAAAAATTATTTACAAACGAAATTCCATGATTGGGTATTTATTACCCTATTCATTACTCGAAACCTAGACCTGAGTAGACTCAATCTGATGCAAGATTTAAATTCTTAGTATTTACTTACGGCATTTAGATTCAAATTTGGATATAGTTTTTAATTGTTTGGTTGGATTTTTTAACCCAAGTTTTCTATATTTGGATTATTACTCTGATTTGAACCCAAGTAGACCTAGCCTCGCCACAGAGATGAAATTCTGATTCTACACTTGAATTTATATTTAGTTTTCAATTGTTTAGGTTCGGTTTTTTACACATGTTTTTTATACCAGATTCATACTAGACAAGTAAACACCCTAACACAAGATATGAAATTTTCAAGTCTATACAGATGTAGATTCAGTTTTCAATGTTTCGAGTCAGGTTGAGAGATGAAAAATCTGGATTGACCCAAACTTTTCACATTCTCTATACTGTAATAGATGAATTGAATAAAATGTGAAATGATAAAGAAGACTTTGAGATGAACCATAGCTTGTTATTTATTAATTTGAAAAAAGGAAAAGAGGAAAGAAAAAAGAACTTTAGGTATAATTTATAATACATTATTGAGATTCCAAGTTAATAAATTTAACTATACTTCTAATAAATGGTTATTGAGGTTTCCCTGTTACCTAATAAATGTGACTTTCACATTTAAAATTAGCAAGCAACATATCGTATAAAATTATAGAAGAGTATATAAATCTTAATTACATTAATTAGTAAAATTTAATATTGATAATGAAATATCTATAGCTTATTATTATCTTAAATGTAAATAATATATATCTAACAATTTACTCAAATTAATTTCATTCATTCGTGAAAATTATAATACTTCCATCAAATTATAAAAAAAAAAACACTGTTTAATTTTAAATAATTAATTTATTTCAAGCTGTCTCAGTTGAGAAATGGGACCATTGTAGCTGCTGTGAATTGACTAATTAATATCTTGTCAGTGTGCATATTTGGTTAGTCAAAAGTCATAGGTAAGAAATTTCAAAAATTTCAAGTGACATCACATTCAAATCAATTCGGATTAATATATCAGCATTAATACTATCCCCAAATTAGTACAAAACGAATCAATCAAATTGTTTTGTTTTTAGCCAAGTTTCTAAAGTATTGATACGAAAAAAGACCTAAAGTTTAAGAAAGTAAGTTGGTCAATACATATCATAAATCAGCCACTTTATAAATTTTGGGAACATATATACATCTTTATTTACAACTTTTTATGCTTAATACTTGATGTGACAGGGGTAGTAAGCAATTATTTTGCATTAACTTCAATAATTATACCCATAATCCATTCAAAAAATAATCTAATCACGTAACATGTATATACAAGATCACGTGATACTTGTTTCATAACTTTTTAATCAAAGTTATTATAATTTATTTCGTCATTTAATATGAAATATACACATTTTTATTGTAAAGTATTACATATCCTATTATAGGGTTTTTGATAATTTGAAGAGATATATAATACTTTTCAATAACATTAAATGATCTCACGCAAGATAGATAAAAGAAATTTGACTATGTAATATTTATCCTATACTATAGTTTGAAGAATTTTTTATTTATATTTTTAGTATGGTAATTGGTGACCATCTCTTTCCCTTCCAACAACTTGAGCCTAACTCTCTGAGTCTTTTAATTCCACAATCTATCTTTCATTCCATTTGGACACAAGGATGATTAAAAAAACAAAAAAGGGTTTATTTCATTTATGCTATGCGAGATCGCTTGATAACATACTCTCTATTATTGAAAAGTATTAGGTGTAGAAGTATTTTTAATATTTTAAAGAGGTTTTTGATAATTTTAAGATGTAAATAATATTTTTCAATAATGCTGAATGCATTTCACATGAGATAAATGAAATTATTGTAATAAAACCCAATTAAAACTTTGATTATTATAAAAAGATGCAATAATTGTAGGTGTGACAGAATCATAAAGAGAAACATCAATACAACATTGAGTTAAAGCTCATAAACCTTGTGATTGCAATAATCTGTGTTTCCGTTTCTCTCATTATCTAATCAGCCCAAGTGAGAAAGTGGGATTCAAACTTCAAAGACATCAACAGTTGCTTTCCCTTTAGGTGGGTCACTTTGACTGCATTGATAAAAATTCGCCACAAAAAGATAATGAACCTCAAAAGGGACCACCACTCTCACCATTATTCTTTATCATTATTTAGTTGTCCATCTCTCCAGGATAAGCCAAGCACCCCCACCATTTTTGCCCTCTCCTCCAACTCTTCAATTCTCTTTTTCTTTTTCTATGAAGAAAGGTGAACAAATGGCCATTCCCCACTTGTTTAGATGTCCAATAAGTCTAGAATTGTTCACAGATCCAGTTACTCTTTCCACAGGCCAAACTTATGACAGATCCAGCATTGAAAAATGGCTGGCTGCAGGTAACCTTACTTGTCCAGTAACAATGCAAAAGCTCCATGATCCTTCCTTTGTTCCCAATCACACTCTTCGCCATTTGATTCATCAATGGCTTCAAATGGGTAGTAGTAGTGGTCACCACAACTTTGATCTTGATAATTACTTGACAAAAATTGATTCTTTCTCTGTGCTCAAACTCAATCTTGAATCCCCTCAAACTTCCATGGAAACCAAGCTCCAAACTCTGGAAAACATTCTTCTTCTTCTTTCCCAGGAACCCTCTAGTATTTCTTGTTTGCTCCAGCTTGGATTCTTGCCTCTACTTCTTCAGCAACTTTTCGGGAAAGCTGCAGAATGTTATAAATTCTCCCTGGAATATGATAAGTTTTTCCAGGATGGACTTTCTTGTATTTCCAGGATGGTTCTCCCAGGACAAATGGAGAGCCTAAATATGCTGATTGAAGAGTCCAAATTGGAGGCTTTTATCTCTTTGTTTGAGCAGGGAAATTACATAATCAAGAAGAGTTTGTGTCATTTAATAGATGTAATATCATCATCTCCAGAAACAAAAGACCTTTGTTCTCACCTTGGAAAAAATTACAGGATTTTGAATGGTATTGTGATGATTATTCTCCAGGATTCTGAAGCATCCGACCCTGGAATTCGGACGTTATCAGGATTATGCTCCCTGGAATCGAACCGCGAAAGCGTGGTGCAATCAGGCGCCATAAACGGGCTCATAACATACATTCTGAACGCTGAGAGAAGAGAAAAGAGCTTGGCGGCAATAGCAATGTCAAGAATTGAAGAACTTTTGGTGTTGGAGAGTGCGAAAGAGGGAGTTGTAAAGCATCCGAATGGTGTTCAGGCTCTGGTGAAGATGGTTTTCAGAGTGTCGGATCATGAAGGAAGTGAAAGTGCTGTGAATTCGTTAATGATTTTATGTTGTGATTCGTTAGAGGTTAGAGAAGAAGCGATTAGTGGTGGGGTTTTGAGTCAACTTTTGCTGCTTTTACAGAGCCAGTGCAGTAATAGAACTAAAACAAAGGCGAGAATGTTGCTGAAAATGCTGAGATCAAAATTGGCTGACGAGGATAGGCATGTGTAGTGGGGCTAGAAATTTTATGTGGGTGGGTTTGTTAATTCCACAAGTTTGTGTATATAATTGTCAATTAATTATGTACGTGACCAGTCACTGAATTATTGCCTATAGGAACTTGATATGTATGGGGCAGATTCAAGAAACTAATCTCCCAATAGCTCCATGGAAACTCAATCTTAAGTTGCCGAGATAGCAAGAGAAAACATTATAGGATGTGTTAGTTTGTTGGTTGATAAAGTTGTTGGGTCAGAAACTACTCTATTTCATCTCTCCAATGAACAAATGGTTAATAACCATCCAAAGATTCATTCAAATGATTTATTAACTTTATAATATTAAGAAGGTCTAGCTTTAAGGTGAAGTTATCGAATAAAAATGAGTTTATTGATATTTCTAATATCAAATGAACAGTAACTGTTGAAAGATCAATATCATTATTGATTCGATAATGTTATGAATCAATTTATAATAGAAAATTGAAAGATGCAATATCATTGTTAATTCGATAATGTTATTGAATCAATATTATATAGAAAATTCTGATCGTAATCAAAAAACCCTATAATCCTAAAATTTTATATATATGCATTATGATAGTTAAATATCATAATTAGATAAGATTGAAGAACATATTTGGATAAAAAAATATGTAATTTGTTCATAGTTTACAATGAATGCATCTTTGTATGATAGAATGAACCAAATTCATAAAACAATAAAATGTAAAGCTCTTGATTGATTTGAAGGTGGGTATATTTAAGCTCTTGATTAATCTCAAAGTGATTATAGTACAACCATTAAAGTTGATTCATAATTCAATCAACTCTCCAATCATGATCGAAATATTTACACAAAAGATAAAGTTAGCCCGACAATTTTGAAGGTTTGATACTTAAGTTTCTACCATGTGGTTCTACTCTTTTGGAAATGAATTGATTCTGTGATGGCTTGATTTTCTACCAATGAGTTAAAGTCAAAGAATTTATTGTTGTTATTAATTATCGTAACCCATATGTCAATTCCGTGATTTAACCAAACACTGTAAAAGGACACCAACCTAATTAATAAAACCTGAATTCAATAACTTTACTGTAACAATTTTGACTCTCAATAATACTTAACAGTAAAATTTCAATACATACTATTAATGAACTTTAGCAATATAATTTTTATTATTTTAATAAACCTCAAGGGGTTAATATTATTAACTCTTATCTTATGTATAGACTTATATATTAATGTTGAATCTTTGTTTAGTTTAACGATTTGAACTTTGCATACAGTGGTAGTATGATTAAGATCTTAAGTTTAAATTTCTTACATTTAGAATCACTTAATCAATTATATCTAAATTATCGTTTCTAATAAATTATAAAAGTATGTCTTGAATTCTCATCTTTGATTTTCCATTGACATAATTCTTATTGAAGTATACCTTGAATTAAATTTTTTACCAAATTCCTTTCTAACATGCCTTTTACATTTAATAAATACAAAATTTTTGTAAAAATTTTAATACAAGCTTTAGCTTAATAGTTTAAACTGTCGGTTCGGATATTATTCTAACCTTAGATAAATTAAATATATTCAAAGCCGAAGTCAAATGAATAATTAAATTAGATAGGTGGGTTACTTATTGCTTTAATTAATTAATTAACTGTGTTCTCATTATGTCAACACTCTTCATTAATCCTACAATAAATACTTTAATATTAATGTAGACAGCAAGGCAGGCACATGCTAGCTTTAGAGTCTTTGAGCAAATCAATTAGAATTTTCAGAGAGTAAACGACTTCTACCCACCCAAGGTTTGCCTCAATAACATTTCCCATCCAAAAATTTTCAAAATACTACTTTCGCACCCAAAGTTTATATTCCGACCAATCGTCGACCGATTCTAGCATCTTTCCAACCATATGTCACCACCATTCTCTTCCTTGATCACCATTCACCAAAACCTTTCAAATCTTACTCCCGCCAACCTCGCCAATTGTTGGCAATGGAACGATTTGTGTAACGTGCAATTGTCCCTCTAAAGTCAGATTTCGACCTATCTTAATCACCAAAAGATTCATTAGTATCTTCTCTTCAAAAGCACAAATAGCTTAAACCAATTTTTTTCTCTATTGGCTGCCGAATCGAAAAGTGTATTCTAGATAGTAAATGAAATATCAACTTTAGGTGAAAAGTGATATTTTAAAATTTTTTAGGTGGCAAAGTGTGGTCAAGGCTAACCTTGGGTGGGAAAAGGGGTTTACTCAATTTTCAAAATAAAACCATCCATAAAACACACGGATGTCTCATGGTTTCTATTTTACTCTACACTTTGATGTGACCTCTACATTATTAATTTACAACTCTCAACTTTGGAGGATTTAATGCACTCTCTAGTTTATCATGTCTATAATCTTTTCTCACAGATCTCGACGTAAGAACTTGTCATTGGTTAGCTTGTAAATAGACAAACGAAACCCATTTTATGAAACGACTAATGATGAGTTGTCACATCAAAAGTTATGAGAGAAGGTTGTGAGATTGTATTGTGAACCTAACATTACTTTTTATCATAAAAACACAATAATATAACCCTACTTTATGACAATATTATTGAATTGATTAATAGTATTGAGAAAAACAAATAATTTGAAAACATATTTTTGGTTAAATGTAATTAGTTGGAATGTGAATTTGAGATGCCTAGAAATAAGGTGTCATTATTTAAGGACCATTTGTTTCAATGACATTGTGGAACCAATCAAATACAACTTTACTTGATAAGAGTTAATACTTTGAAGAGATTTCTGTTATTATACTAAACCTTACGAGGTTAACGTCTTTTAACTTCAAAATAATAATAATGTAAAAAATTGCCATTTCTCTTCATTAGACCTTGCAAATTATCCACATTCCCTCATCTAGATAATAAAAAAAAAACCTAGTAGTTGTGGATGCAGAATAATTAGAAGGTAGATTGGAGATCACATTTCTAGATGAAACCCCCAAGTCTAAAATGCCTTAAACTTAGGGGAAAGGACCCATTACATACAAAGTTAAGTATAAAAAATGGTCCATATTTTCAGCTGCAGGAAATTGTAACTCACATGTTCACATCACTTACATTCTGGACCAGTCGTACCACGAATTATTAATAAATAAAAATTTGCTAAATCTAGTCAATATTGATATTGATCTCTTTGTATAAAACATTCATAAAGTTGATAGATGACTTTGTCTTAACAGTAAACAATATTCTCTATAACTGTTTTTCACTTTGCAATTTTCATCAAATTAATCCACCTGCTTAACCGCTTGTATACACCCTGTCATTCCTTTGAGTTTCATTCTTCAAAACGTACTCCCCAAACAGGATACTTAACGTGTTAGCTACATCATTGCATGGGTCGAAGCGATATGCACAACGTTTAGTATCCATTGTTTAAAGCTAAGATTGTTTGGAGTATCTAACCCCATTCACTCCCCTCTAAAACTATTTATAGTTTTCTTATATTGTCAATGCCTGTACCAAAAATAATCTATCTATAGAGTCCTCTTTGGCAATTTTTTTTTTTTTAAATCTAGACCACGATTTGCTACTTTGGATTAACATTTATCAGGTTTAGCTAAATTTAAAAAACAGAATTTTATAGTTTCCAAAATGAGAAAATTGATCAAATTTCTTCTTTTAACATTAAACGATGACAATGAATGATGGTTCGGATTTACAAAAATGCATACGCTAAGCCTAACATTGAAAATTTTCATATATACATAATATATAAAATCGGGTCATTAAAATGTCAACTTTAAATATGTGATCTGATTGTTAAATATTTCAGGTTTACACAGTACATTTAGAATTAAATAAAAGATAGATGTTCTCGACCCCAGGGTTTTGGCTATAATACATACATGTAAAAGTGCATATGATAAGTTTTACGTTTTTGGTTTACAAGTTTCACATCATGAATTTACAAGTTTGACGTTGATGTATTATTATTGTAGCAAAATTCTACTTTCTAGTGTTATTTATACCATAAATTATTACCAAACAGTCACTTTTGAAAAAGAGTAAAAAAAATTGGCTTAATTTCAGTAACAGCAGCACTAGACATCACATGGACAGAAAGAAAACTGAAAAAGGTAGTCTCACGGTAAAGTATTCCGAAGTTTTATTTTTCTTGCAAAATTAGTCAAAAAGTGTGGGAAAAGTTGAGCCTAACAAACGCAAAGAGTATGCTTATTTTATCAGATTAATCTAATAACTAGATATCAACAATTATAGATATTATAAGTTATTTAACACTGCAATAGTGTATTGGTTGATCACTATATTTCCCTAGTTAGATGTATGATTCTTATTGCATCAACAAACACTAGCATTCTAGCAGAATACGGAAACATCAGTAAATGCAGCTACTTCCATTTAACACTGTTATAATATATTGGAACATTCAATAATAAGTTATTGTTGTGTTGGATTTGTAAGCTAGCCAACGTGAATTCCTAAGAAAGTGTGATGAAGTGTTGCGAAGAACTAACCAAACTTGTGAGGATTGAGTTGCAATTGTGAACTGGTTTTCTGCAACCAATGGAGAATGCTTGTCCACATACAGGGCTGCAGCTGCATGTACCTCTGCATTAAACCCAACAAAAGTATGTTACAATGAAAAAGATAGTATTAATCAAACCGAAATTAAAGGTTGTAGTTCTTGTTCAAGTATTGTATTACCAGTATTACAACAACGGATAAGCCAAAGCACGATCCTCCAACTAATCCTGTCATAAAGTAAAACAAAAATATAATCAATCCACTTATTACTTGAGTAACTGGACATAATCTATGTAATCAGTTTATACATTTTACCCATTTAGACAAATTTGCTTAACTTGTTCAAACAAATTCAACCTGCTTTACTCATTTAAACGCTTTCAATATGCTTCAACAGGGCTGTTGATTTAATTTATAATTATATCCTCCAACTTTTTTGTCAATAATTTCCAAATGTATAAAATTAAGCAGGGTTAATATAACACGTCATCATCAGTAATTAAATTTAAATCCACACACGAATTAATCACGCTCAGCCTGAATATACTATGTTTATTTTGAAAGTTGAACACGTTAACATGAATATGATAAATATGCCTTTAAAAATCTATCTTATCTCGCTTACTTTATGTTTCTTTGCAGTGTTTAGCAGTGTCACAAATTGCCATCAAAGGTCCAAAAGTCTTCCTTCTCTAGAATTGTCTAAAAAATTTGGAAACTTTGGATATACCTGGGAATCCCTTCAAAGCTATGAAACATCCTCCATTTCTGCAATAGCTTCTTCTCCATTTTTAGGTTTAACCATAAGAAGACATAGCCGGAAGTGGATGAAACCATATGTTCTCAATGTTAATCAAAAGACAGTGTCAAGTTCTCCAATCTTGAGAACACAACCTCCAGAAACAAGTCATGTTTTGCAAACAACTTACAAACTAATTAAAATACACCTTTTTCATATTAACAAAGATGATATAAGAAGAAAAGGACAAAACATACCTTCATGTCTAAGCCAAAACTTAAGAGCTGTGGAACACATTTTAGTGCCAGGTTACGTAATTGAGAGAACTCATCTCACTATTCCTTCCATTTCAATCAATTTGTTCTTTCAAAAGAAACAATTTTGTCACATCTCTACCACAAGAGTAGTTCCTTTAAGACCATTATTAGCTTCCACGGTTTCGACGTCATCAAGTGCTCAACGAGGCAGTTATCCTGCTGCTCAAATGATATTCTAAACTGACTGGAAACACTTATTTCCATGCACCAAAATCAATTGATTGAAGTGAAACATGGCCAAGATATAAATCCTGTAAGTGTTGCTTACACAACCCAATTCGCCTTTTATTCAAACTGGGATGAATACAACTTGAAAATCCTGTCTTCCACCCAGGAAATTTCTGTCTTTCCATAACATGAAGAGTATAAACACATGGTGCTGCAGCCAAGCACCCAAAAATGAAACAATTGCAAGGTCTTGACTGGGTCACTACTCTTGCTAGAGATAATAAACACAAGCCACTATAAGTAATTCCATACATCAATGCATCATCATTATATAAAGCTTGTGAATCTGATGTCCCATATGCCATTTCATGATCAATCTCTTCAAAAGAGGAAATTCTGCTCAGTTCTGAATCCAATCGATTTTCTATTTCGTTTTCATGAATTCGATACTTTGCTGCTAGAGTGCGAACACAAGATTTCCTGACTTCATTGGAAATCATGAGCTTTATCTCACTGAAATTGTCACACTCCCTGTACCACCTAAGCCAACGGTGAACTATTCCAGAAAACCAGTCAATGATTTGGCATTTATCCAGTAAGATGAGCAGAGAAGTTGTACGGGGGTAACCTTCAGGTGTAACCAATCCATACCTTAAAAGACGTTTCTTTATGGCGTTGACAGGAGCTACAATTTCAGTGATGGTGACAGATTTGGTGGAAGAAGATGAATTTGGCAAAAGAGCAAGAGTAGCAGCCGTCTCAGAAGAAACATATTTTTCTGCGCACTTCTGAAATTCATAGAAGGATTCTCTAAGCTCTTGGGGTAGGGCTGGTTCTGCAACATACTTGGATAAAAGCAAGTCCTCACTTTCTGCTGCTTTGGCTTTAACATCTTGCATCCAAACTTTTAATAAAAGCTTGTACCAGTGGTCCGTTTGCATCCCAGCTTTACGAAAGCCAGAAATTTGGCTCAAAGTAGAGCTCGTATCAGCTAAATGCTTGATCTCTGACTCCTTTACCTTCTTCAATCCATAAGCTAACCATTTCTTCCCAATTCTAACTGTCCCAGCATCCCAAGCCTCTTGTTTCTGTAAAGCAAATAGCTTGACCTTTTCCTTTAACTTGTGAACAGCCTTTACAGCAGGGCTATCTTTGACACTTCTTCTAATCAAAGTGCCCAAAAAGCAAATTCCATTAGGCCCCTCACATGGTAATATTTCTGTTTGATTGTCTACGTCCAAGTGCAAACAACTCTGTAAGTAATTTACAATATCAGACTTGAAAGCCACAGCAACTTCTTTTAAACCAGAAACAGCAAAAAACATCTCATCCATGAAGCGGACAGCATGAACTCTTATACTAATTTTTTCCTCAACCACTGCATTAACATCATTCCCTTTTAGTTGTCTCCTGAACCAACTCCTAAGCTTGGAATGAGATGCATCTCCATCTATATGAAAATTTGAATTGAGAACTTCATATTTCATTGACAATCTATAAAATTCAATGTCAAAGCAGTCAAGATATACATTCATTAGTATAGAGGACAATACTCCTTCTTGTGGAAGACCTTGGCCTTTTGGGAAACCACCAAACTCCAAATTGAGTACCTGAGCATCAAACATTCTCTGAATGATATCATATAAGCTGGGGTCTTCTATCTTGCACTCCATTACAGAAATGAGTTTGGCAAGAACATGAGAATCTGCCTTTTTGTTTAAGTGCAATGTAAACCACCAATCAGGACTAGAAATCTCTTTCCTGATGTACTTCAATGCTGAGGAGTGTCCCCTCCCACTACGGCAGCCATGTGAAATCTTAGAAAAGAAGGGTCTGTAAACAATCTCCAAAACTATCCTGATAGCTTCTTGAACTATTTTTAACTTCAGATTGGGAAGAACAAGAACTTCTTTGTTTGATCCTTTTGTTGAGATGGAGAAGGTATTAGCTTTGACATCAAATTTCCCACTATATAGCTCTTCTGCCATGGATTCAAAAGATACACAGCCATCACTTACAGCAATATCAACATTTGAGTTAAGCCTAACACTATTGTAAGCATCTTGAAGGGTTTCTGGATTAGCAATAACTTTTCCCATTAGGTCTTGAAACTTCCCGTTCATATATTGCTCCTTCACCCTTTTCTTTATGCAGAGTTCAAGAGACCTCTTGAGCTCCATTCGACTCTTGGGTCTTTTCTCATCAAAATTAGAACAATCTTCAACAAGAAAGGCTAAATTTTTTGCCAAAGTCATTTTTCCAATTCCCTTATCATTGGTATCATCAGCTGCTGCAAGAGTAGAGTAATGAACAGAAGCCTGCCCTGTTTCTGTAGGTCCTCCTGTTACCATATATAAATGTTATAATTTAGTCACGGCAAAAGCTACAGCTCCATCTTAAACTGTAATCATGGCATGATATAGTGAAATCTCATTGGCAGTTAAAGCAGGGTAATTCTTTCCACATTTATACATATGCATACAAGTTGCCACACAAGCTATTGATTCTTTAACACACAAGACGCTAAATTTAAAAAAAAAAAAAAAAAAAAAAAAAAAAAATTCCTCTAATCATTTAGAATATCATCATATAGAAGATATTTATATTGCCCAGCCCTTGATAATCCAATGCTTTTTACTACAAACCATGGTGCATTATAGCATTAATGTAAGCATATAAAAGCTTACTTGTAACAGTCACTACCAATGAATTCACTGGAACAAGGATCTTGCTTCGCATTATATCATATTTCAACAAGTTTCTTCTCCAAACTTGCAGCAAACCCACAAAGCGCATTGTCTCCACAAAGTTCTTCAACTCTCATTCACTACAAAACAATTCAACATAGCTTCAAAGAAAAACACAAACCAAGTAGTCAAACAGCCTTTATTAATAACACAAAACAGCATAATCTTTAGTATATGAGCATGACTAAAAAGTAAAACAATGTTCTGCTGATATTATAAAATGCAAGAAGAACCAAAAGCACCTAGTTGCATCACAGACACATTTTAACAAACAGCTTGTATACACTAGAAAAGAGTTTCAAACTTGCAAGTAACTCCTCTAGCACATTTCATATATCATAACTTAGTTAAAGTTGTACATCTCTTTAATCACACTAAATCTAACCAATATAACTGACCTACCAGAGACTATTGCCACAGTCTTTTTGATAATTAGTTTTAATCTCACTAAATTTAAACCCGCATCTAAATCTACAATCACCTCATGATTGTCTCCAAATGACAAGAGAAACCTTTCAAACTTCAGCCCAGTAATTAATGTAGCACTACTTCTAACGGTATCTATGAGTAAATACATTAAACATGGACTCAAAATTTTGACATGAGTTCATAGCAAGTAACAAATTGTGATATGTTGAAAAGCTGACCAAAATTCAAAACAAATATAGGCCAAGAAAACAACACTGCAAATTTAAGTTCAATTCACAAATACAGGCCAAGAAAACAACATAAAACTTCTGAAACAAAAATAATTAGGAAAGAATAAAAAACAATTACATTATTTTAGTGTGCACTTGTGCTGCTGCTGCTGTCAGTTTCAGGCAGGTGATGCCGACGGTGGCCCTTGCGGGGTGTGGTGGCCTTTGCTTAGCGTAGTGGAATGCCGCATGAAGAGGAGAGCCAAGGCGATGGTATCCTTCTAATCCTGGATCCGGATCCGGATCGGAAAACAACCAAAAAAAAAGTAAAAATAATCATGGTCCGGAAACTTACGAACCGTCTGGGTATCACCCGGCCCGGTTAACCCGGATGGCATATTGGTATAATACTTAACTGTACTACATAAATAACAAGGGACTGTTTGCTTTAAGGAATAGAATAAAACTACGTGCACTAATTAATTTGTACTAATCTAAGTATTAACATTGAAAATTTGAAATTCCCTCTAAAAAATAAATTCAAATTTTCAATGTTAGTACAAATTGGTTAGTGTACATAGCATCACTCTAAGGAATATTATATTACTAAGAGTTTTATATTATTGGGAAGATAGATTACTTTGAAGATTATTGTGAATGTACGTTTGGTTAGGGCTATAGGAAGATAACAATAAATGTTACTATTTTACCACTAAATAATTAAATTTTTGGACAATAATGCCCTTATTATGAAAACTATTAGCATGAATACCACCCAAAACAACCCAGCCACCCAAGATGACTGCCGGCCACCACCGCTAGCCACCGCTGACAGTCGCCAGAACAGCGCAAGAGCAATCAGATATGGCTGGCCATGCACCAGAAACGACAGCCAGATCCATGGCCTTTTGAGGCTAGGTCCATGGATTTGGTTGTTTCTTTCCCTTCAGATCCATGGATCTCATCAAAAACTTACGACCATGGATCTGGTTGGAAACGGCCAGATCAACGCACAACCAGCTAAATCCAATCGGTTGTGCCCTTTTTTGGCGGCAGTTGGCAGTGACGGCTAGTGGTCGGCAGTCGTCTTGGGTGGCTACCGATTATTTTGTTAAATTTTAAACTTTTATTGTTATTGGGGTGTTTTAGTTCAATTCCCAACTGTAAGAGTTAAAAGTAATCATCTAAATAATCAAATAATAATATGATATTTAAAAAGAAGGGCAATTCAGTAAATGATTCTCCCATAATTTTTTTATTCCCCCCAACCAAACATATTAATTATTTATACCAATCAATCTAACCAAATATATATAATACAACATTTCCCTTAATCTTCAAGGTTATCTATCTTTAAGGTAATCCTATTTTTTTCGGTCATAAAACATTCCTGAAACCAAATGCACCCTAAATGTTATATTAAATATGTATTCAAATGGGTAGGTATATTATATTGATATGTTTTGTGGGGAGGAATAAAAGAATTATGGGATAAGCTTTTTACTGAATTGCTATTCTTTTTTAAAATTATTATTTGGATTATTTCTTTTAACCCTTTGCATTTGAGAATTCGGCTAAAACACCCCAACAACAATAAAAGTTTAAAAATTAGCTAAAAAACCCTAGTCATCCAAGACGACTGTAGGCCACCAGCCACCACTACCGACCACAGTTGACAGTCATCGGAATGGCACAGAGCGGTCGAATATGGCTGACCGTGCATTGATCTGGCCAATTCCGATGGCCAGATAAACATCCAGATTCATGGAGTGAATGAGTGTTTAGTCCTCCCAAAAATTAGAGTTTTAAGCAAGCATGGACCATTGTGTCAGGAAAAGGAAGATATGTTCCACATAAATCAATGTCAACGAAACTGAGAGATCCAACAATGAAGACTTTACATAGGTTTGTTATGTACTCTCTAACTACTAGAAAGAGAACCATTGGTCAAGTGACCACAAAGGATTTTTTGTTGCTAGAGGTTGTTGTGAAGAAAGTATAGGTAGACACAACCTCTTTGTTGATTTGAAAACTTGGAGAAATAAGGAAGGATTCCGGGGAGATATCTTTTAGAATGTTTATCACTTTTATCTGCTCCAAACTCAAGCTGGCCATCACTTAACAAGATGAACCAAGAAAGTTCAATTCAACGACGACAATCTTATGGATGGATACATGCTACAAAAGATGGGTATGGTGAAAATAAGGAGAAATGGGGAATGGAAGATAATTCCCACTGAAGGTGAAGAAAGGCAAGATGAAGAGATGGAATCCTCAGATAACGGAACACCGATGGAAAGAAAAAGGAGAAGGACAAAGGTTGGCTCAAGTTCTAGGTCTACAAGTCAAGTCGATGAGATTTTTGAGCAAGTGAAGTCTTACTTTGATGAGAAGTTTGATCGGCTGAGCATTCAAATGTCCAAGGTAGCCCATGAGCTTCATCACATTTGATCATCCATGCCAAACCTGCCACCACATTCTCCTCAACATTAGAGACTTAGGATCCATTTCATGTTATGTCTTTGACTCTAATCTTCTGTTGTTGCACATGAGGACATATTTGTGTACTCTTTAGTACACTTAACTCGATTTGTTGCTTTACTTTTTATGTTTCTCTTGTTATGAACTCTTATTATTATTATCTTGGATATGGATTTCTTTTCATTATACTTGTTGCAGTTTTTGGACTATAATGACATGCTTGAGTTGAAATCGTTATCTCTTTTTTATTATGACAAAAAGGGGGGAGAAGAATTGAATTGAATTTATTTGTAGTTTGTGGATGATTGAGTTGATGAGATGAATTATATACGTGTGTTTGTGCTTTTTGGAAATGTTGATTGTGCTTATTGTACTTTTTGGAAAACTTGTTGTGAGAGAAAGCTTTTGATCTAATTTGTAGTTCATTTTGGTAAAAATTTGTTAAAGGGATATGTTTGTTGAAAGTGTGAGAGTTTTTGCATTTTTCTTAACTTTTATGGAACTCAATTTTGCTTAGTTTAGTCATCAATCAAAAAGGGAGAGATTGTTGAACCCTCATGTATTTTGATATGTCAAAACTAATAAAAAAGATTCCTTAAAGAACTAACAAAATGCAAAGGTATGACATAAGTCATAACCAAAATAAAAATGCAATTTTTCCAGGTGGAATGACTGTTCACGCAAATGAAACGCCTGTTCCATTCAGTATTTCTGGAAAATAATCCCAGATCAAGCCAATCCAATTTGGAAAGACCTTGTTCCGTGACCTCGTTCATGGTTCTGCCCAAAACGAAGCAAGCATCCAATTGAGCTAAAACTCAAGTAAGAAAGGAAAGACCAAACTGAAAGACCATTCCAGAAAGTCATTCCAAACATCAAAAGACTTATCCAATAAGGTTAACACACATTCGCAAGCTGGACATCCTTTGCGATCTAAAGAAGGAACAACAAGAAGAACGACTGTTTCTCTAGCCCGTTCATAGCTCTGGAATCTTGACACTCTTTATGACCTGAAAAGGAGCGCTTGCTCCATGAGAGGAATGTCTGTTCTAAGCTTAAGTCATGATTTTGGACCTGGAAGATTCGAGCTGAAGTCAAGGTTGTAGAAACTTCAAGTCAAACAAGAATGACCTCGACAAACGCCCGTTCCTAGACTTCTTCAAGCTGTTCCAAGAAGGAACAACATCATTCTAGGAAGTCATTCAAAGTTTTGGAATTTTTGGACATCAAGAGACCCAAGATGGAAAGCTCGTTCGCGATAGGGGAATGATTATTCTATGTACGGGAACGATTATTCCAAACCTTAAGTTTTAAAGAAAAGTGACTGTTAGTGTTAGACACGCCCATTCCCAATGCTGGAATGCCCATTCCTCTTGGTTCTACATATTTGCAAAAGTGCAATAAATACAGCAACGACTCTAATTTTTTAAGGGTTGGTGAAGACATAAATAAGGTGATTTATTGCAAGAACAAGAGAGAGAGAACAATGCACTATCCAACATTCAATCTTGCAAACCCTAGAGCTCATTCTTGATAGAAAATCATTCTCTCATTTTGTGCTAAAACTCATATCTTTAGATAGAAACTTTGAACCCATTGTGTATTAGCCTAGCTTAGAGAAAATCATTCACAAAATCATTAATCTCATATTTGTGGGCGGAATCTTATAAAATTAGAGACGAAATCCTATCAAATTATTGTAGAAACGAAATCTTGTGGAAACTATTATATTAGCGAAATTCGATTCTAATGGAACTTCAAGGAGGTTGCTTTGAAGAAGTAGATGTAGGAGGCTCGTGATTAAGGTTTGAACCACTATAAATTTCTAAACATTTATCTTCTCTCAACCCATTTATTGCTTGTTGTTCATTAAATTTTTTAATCTCTTATTCACCCCTCCTCTCCCCCAAAAAAAAGCATTTGCCATATTAGGATTTTACACATTCAACCCTTAGTCAACAAGAGTTCGCCATGCAAGAGATAGCATCATCGCACACGTGTTCTAAGGTGGCAACTCATGTTCGCATAAGAAAATAGCTGCTCATGATTGCAACTCGCAGTGTAACAACCATCCAAGCAAAAGGCATGAGTTTTTGAAGTCCGAACTCAAACTCCAAAACTGGAGAGCTAATGTCGTGCGGTAACTCCCTGAAGCATGGATTCACATTGATGTCTCATTCTTTTTAGGTTAACTTTATTTACAAGTTTGCCACTGTAATAGTATATTCCGCAGACTTTTACTCAAATTAGAGATATGATTTTCATTCATACTTTGTAAGTCATGTGCAAAACAATACATAGAAAACAATACATAGTGGATGTAGGATTTGCATTGAGCCTTCAAACCATTATAAAATCTTTTCCTTGTGCTATTGTTTGATTTGTTATTCATCTATCAATCCAACATCGAAATCACGAGTTTTCTAAAAACTCCTATGTAATTTCAAACTCTTATGTAGATTTCAACAGGATCCTACATATTTCTCGTTGGTGCAAATCGCAACATCTCAAAATTAATTGATCATGGCTTCATTGATAACTTCAAATTTGTTCTTCGCCCTACTTAATTCTTCCTTTTTCCTTCTCAGGAGGTGAACTTAAAGTACAATAAATTTGTGTTGGAATTTACAAGAATTCATGGACGATTCCTCTGAAAACCTATGTTCTTGATGGATCCCCCAAGAACTCGAATCTCTAGTTAGCGATTTTCTCAGTAATTTAA